GTTTGCTTTCTAGTTCTTTAAGTTGTGAGGTTAGATAGTCAATTAGAAATTTTTCTTGTTTCTGGAAGTAGGCCTGTAGTGCTATGAACTTCCCTCTCAGAACTGCTTTCTCTGCATACTATAGATTTCGTGTTGTTTTGCGTTCATTTTCATTGGTTTCCAGGAAGTTTTTAATTACTTCCTTTATCTCCTTGGTAACCCACTTGTTGTTTATTTATTTTTTATCCGTACCCCGAAGACATTTTTTTATTTTTTGTTCAGATAGAGCGGAGGAAGAGAGAGAGAGAGAGAAACATCGATGTGAAAGGGACACATCGAGTGGCTGCCATCCGTACGACCCAACCAGGGCCGGTGACAAACTGCAATCCAGGTACATGCCCTTAGCGGGAACCAAACCCGGGTCTCTCTGGACCGCAGGCCGACAATCTAACTGCTGAGCCAAACTGGCCAGGGCCCCATTTGTTGTTTAATCACAAGCTAGTTAGCCTCCATTTGTTTGAATGTTTTTTGTAGGTTTTTGTTGTAATTGATTTCTAGTTTCATGCTATTGTGATCTGAGAAGATGCTTTATATGATTTCAATCTTCTTCAATTTGTAGAGACTTAGTTTGTGTCCTAACATGTGGTCTATTTTTGAGAATGTCCCATGTGCCCTTGAGAAGAATGTGAATTCTACAGTTTTGGGGTGTGATTTTCTGCAGATATATATTAAATCCATTTGATCTAGCACTTCATTCAGAGTCTCTGTTTCCTTGATAATTTTTTATTTAGATAATCTATCCACTGATGTCAGCAGGGTGTTGAAGTCTCCTGCTATGATTGAATTGTGGTTGGTTTCTCCTTTGAAGTCATCCAGAAGATTTTTAATATATGTTGGTGCTCCTATATTGGGTGCATATATGTTTACCAAGGTTATATCTTCCTGTTGGATAGATCCTTTCAATATTATGTATTGACCTTATTTGTCTCTAGTTATGGCCTTCATTTTGAAATCTATTTATTCAGATATGAGTATTGCTACCCCAGCTTTTTTTTGCTTTCTGTTTGCTTGGAAAATTTTTTTCCATCCCTTCACTTTCAACCTATGTGAGTCTTTTGTTGTGAGGTGGGTCTCTTGTAAACAACATATATGTGAGTCATGTTTTCTTATCCAGTCAGCTACTTTGTGTCTTTTTTTTGGAGCATTCAAACCATTCACATTTAAGGTGATACTTGATATGTACTTATTTATTGCCATTTTTATTTAGTGTGGTTCTATTTTTCTTCCTATTTCTCCTGCTAATTACAGCAGTCCTTTTAACATTTCTTCCAGTGCTGTTTTGGTGCTAATATATTCCTTTAGCCTTTTTTTTGGTCTGGGAAGCTCTTTATTTGACCTTCAATTTTGAATGATAGTCTGGTTGGATAGAGTAGTGTTGGATTGAGATTCTTGTTTTTCATGACCTTGATTACTTCATGCCATTCCCTTCTGGCCTGTAGTGTTTCTTTTGAGAAACACTGATAGCCTTATGGGGGTTCCTTTGTAGGTAACCTGTTCCTTATTTCTTGCTGCCTTTAGGATTCTCTCTTTGTCTTTAATTTTTGACATTTTAATTATTGTGTGTCTTGGTGTGGGTCTATTTGGGTTCTTCTTAGTTGGGGCTCTATGTGCTTCTTGAACTTGAATGCCTTATTCCTTCACCAAGTTAGAAAAGTTTTCTGTCACTATTTCTTCATATATATTTTCTAACCTTGCTCATTTTCTTCTTCTTTGGAGATTCCTATGATGCAAATGTTATTATGCTTCTAGTTGTCCCACAGTTCTCTTAAGCTGATTCCTGTTTTTTAACTGTATTTTCCTTTTTGTTTTCTGATTGACTGATTTTTTCCTACCCTGTCTTCCAATTCACTGATCCTGTCCTCAGCTTCCTCTAATCTGCTGGTAAGTTCTTCCAATGTGTTTTTTATTTTTGCTATGTCATTCTTTACTTCCACTTGGTTGGTTTTCAATATTTCTATACTTTTAATCATGGTATTGATGTCTTTACACATGCTGTGGAGCTTCCTCAAGATCATGGCTCTGAACTCTACCTCTGATAACTTGCTTAACTGCATTTTATTTATCTCATCTTCGATAGAGTTCTTTTGTTCTTTCATTTGGAATTTGTTTCTGTGTTTCACCATTTTGGCTATCTTAGTGGGTTTTGGATCCTGACAAATTTTCCCTGTGGGTGTTGGTGTTCTGCTGTTTGTGGCTCCCTCTACTGGGTTTAGATGAGCATGGGAGGGCCCACGTTAAACCCCACTGTCAAGTCTTACTTTCCTGGGTAGATTTGCAAGCTCAGGAAAGGTTCAGTTATCCTCTCATTTTTTGCTTGGAGGGTAGTAGTCTGTGTAAGAGGATTTCCAGCGGGTGGGACAAATGCTGATTGTTAATGAGCCTCAATTTGCATTTCTTTGCCTCACCTGGAAGGGGCTGAATCTATGATGGAGGGGCTGCTGCTTTTTCCCACAGCTCTGATAAGAAGCAAACTGGCCACCGTCCTTTGTGGCTGCGACTCAGAAAAAAGAATTGAGTATTCTCCAAATCCTGGGTGTCCCCACAGAGTTCCAGTCCAGTCTGCCTTCCCTCTGCTAGAGCCCCAGGTGAGTGGCTGTGGCCAATTCAGTGGTCTGTTCTGGCCCTCTGTGCTGTGGAGCAGGCTTGGTATTTTAACCCTGAGGACACACTGCTCACAGCTAAAACTGCTGCTATTTGTGGGCTCCCAGCCCCCACCCTCTTGTGCCTCCGCAGATACTACTAGTGTCCCTGGTTATATGGTCCTGTCCTGTTGCTTTCCTGTTGCTTTATTCCAATGATTTGTCTTTATTTTAGTTGTAATTCGCATTTGGTCCTGGGAGATCGTCTGTGTGGCTTCCATTTAAATATCTCTTTTATGTAAACATTTAGTAGAACTTCTATCATCAAATCACCCAAATAACTATATTGTTTGGGGAAATACAAGATCTCAGGCACTTGGGTATTTGCACTTATGCAGTGCTGTCCTTCATTAAAATAACAAAGAATTCCAAAACAAAAACATTCTATTGCCAAGTTTTATTGATGTTTCCTCCTTTTGGTAAACCTGATAGTTTTTTTTTCCATTTCTATCTCTGTTATCATCTTACACCTGGATTTTGCAATAGCCTTCTAATTGGTTTCTGAGCATCCATTCTTACTCTGCCAGCTATTTTGTACCATACAGTTATAGAGCTATTTTCAAAAAGCAAATATGACTATGTCACTTTCAAGATATAAACTTTTCAGTGACTCCTCTTTGCTCTCCAAGAAAGACCACAACCTGAACATGGCCAATGGCCCCTATACAACCCAAGCTTCCTCTTTCCAGTCCATTGTCATCATGCTCCATGACCTTCTGCACTCTCTTTGCTTTTACCTTCTCTAGCTCCTGTACTTTTTAAATTCTTGAAATGCAGCATGGTTTCTCTAGCCACAGGACCTTTGCCCATTCTGTTTATTCTGCTTAAAATACATTCTCTCTTCCTTGTAAATCCTTATTAACTCCTATTTATACTTCAGACCTCAGCTCCCATTTGACTTCCATAGAGATTCACCATCCTCTTGATTAGAACAAATTCTCCTATATTTGCTGTAATAGCAACACATACCTCTCATTCATGACATTTACAACAGTGGTCATTCTACATTTTCTTCAGTGATTATTTGATTGCTGAGTTCTTCACTGGATATAAGTTCTCTTATATCCTAGGGTCTAGCACAGGACCTGGTTTATAGTAGGTTCTTAATGAGTACCAGGTCCTCACCCACCCTTCTGTATACACGGGCCTTTGCATATGCACACAAACATACATTCTTCCACTGTGCTAAGTTCTCATAGTAGGTATTATTTGGTCATACTTGCTGGAAAAGAGAAATTTATTCATCACTGAATAAAGTTATAGACACGTAAATCATACTTAAATATTACGTATGAATATGTTTAATTTTTTTAAAGATAGAGAAAAATACTCATCAAAAAGGGTGAATTTTTCTATGAGTTTAAACAGTTCCTAATTTGAAGGTGAAATTCACTATTTTTACCTATAATAGTAGAATATCAATAATATCTTTTCAGGAGACAATATACACCAACTTTAATCATACATTATTTTAAGACAGCAATACACACATTGCTGAAATAGAGTATTTGACTTGCCTAAAAATTATATCTAGTCCTAAAATGTGTTACAATCAAAACTAGTGAGAGTAGCTCTCAGTACATGAAAGCACATTGAATCTAACAAATAATCTCTAATAAAATGTGGCAGAAAGTGTACTGGCCAGCTTAGCAAAGTGGGTCAAACCTGATATTTTTAAATATCTCTCCAGCAATGTTGGCGTAATTGGCTCCACTGTATTCCTTGTCAGTTTCTCATAGCAGCATGGTGTGCATAGAAGTACAGCCAGCCAGTGCTGGAAAATGAGTAACAACTGTATGGCAGCCCATCAGAAAAATGAAAAGTACTCATGTATCATTCAGCACACAAATACCAGAAAACAGAAACTCTGTTATAATTCCACTTCATTTTCTTTGTTATGATATACCTGACATTGTAGTCAAAATAATAAGGTCTGGATACCTCAGTGTAGAATCTCAAATATTTAATTTATTAATAAATGTATTCCTTGATGAACGCTACCATTTGTCTACAACATAACATGTCTGATACTGGGCAACAAAAATATAATAAAAGATGCAGATGTATCCCTTATTTACAACAAGAGGTTCTATTCTGGAGCACACAACAGGAAATTTGAGTTCAAGAGATACAATACACAGAGACTTGTGATACCCAGAATACTTACAGAAACAAAGGACAGGCCAGATTTTCATACGTTGCTTCTTTATTATTACCTCCAGGCTCAGAGAAGGCTCACAACATTCAGGCAATGTTGAATAAACATTCAATAGCAAGTTTAAGAGCAAGAAGGCAACCTTACAAAGCCATGGGGGTACTTACCACATCCCTGTGTTCTCCTTCTTTAGGTGTAAGGATGACTGAGAGAAAAAGGATTCCGAGATCATGGTCAGGGTAGTGGGGATCTTTCAGTGTTAGAGTCACATCTATGGGCCTGTGGTAGAAAATATTAAGTTTTGAACAGTTATTCAATGAATAAGCCAAAAATAGATGTTATATCAATATTTTTTTGTCTTCCTTTACACCCCTGTTATAATTTCTGTTGTTATTAACATTTCATCCAATAAGTTGTGAGCCAACTGGGTATACTTGGATTCACTGGATACATTTCAGTCCTGCATGGGGTTCTAGAAAGACCAAGAAACCACAACAGTGTGGAGAAACCTAAAGATCCCTACTCTATGATCTCCAAATACACAGACTGCCACGGCAGCTATTTTCTATAAATTTGAGTCCAAGAACTAGATGAGGTCACTATTGACCACTATTTTCCTTTTAGTTATTCAAGGTTTTTTGTTTGTTTGTTTGTTTTTAAATCAGGAGTATGATATAGAGTAAACAAATGATTTAGAGAAGAAAATATAAAATATAATTTGCCTGATATACACTACAAACATACCTTAAAAACAATATATAATTAATTAGAAGAAATTCCAATATTTAAAACAATGCTTCTATTTTAGGGTTGCTTAAACCTGTGCCTGAACAATTTTTAGATTCAGAAACATAAGGAAGTCTATAATTTGATTAATACTTAGAAGACTTTAGAATTAGTTAAATATCTCTGAGGAAGAGATTATGAATTACTCAGTATTGCACACAATCACTTTTAGAAAATAAGCGAAATATACATTCAACAGACAAGCATAGATGAAATCTTATTCTCATCTTTTAATTAATATTTAACAAATAAGGGTTTGTGCCCTCCATAAACCTAAGGAACTGCAAGAAGTTTGGCACTAAACTTGAATCTTGAAAATGTCAAATTAAGAACGTTCTTTTGTTTGCTCAATTATTTGTTAATTCATTTAATTCACAAAACATGCATTAAATGTTACTAATTCTGTTAGATTATGGGTAAAAACCAGAGCTTGAAACCAAAGAGAAGACCCTTGTTTTTATTGAGTTTAACTTTTAAGAAATGATATAGTTGGAGTCTATTACTGGGAAGAGAGCTTGATGGGGAAAGCTGGTTCAAATAATAATTTTTGATCCTAGCTACACATCAAAATCAACTGTGAAGCTTTAAAAAATTTCATCATCCTGAACTCTACCCACGATAACTCTGGTTCTGCAGATCAGTCAGGATGGGGTCTGGAAATCTATATATTTATAAAGCTTCCCAAATGATTTTCTCATAAAACCAGGACTGAAAACCCTAGGTACTTTCTAGTACTAAGTTATTATAATACTTGGAAACTCTTTCACATAATGCTTAATTTACCAAGTCAAGGAATGATGTTATTAAATATATGAACAGTTCTGTGATAACAGGGGCTTTAACTGAAACACAAGTAACCGATTAGATAATATACATAATATAATTGGATTGGATAATAACAACTTGTTCTTTTTATTTTAATAAATATATATTAAGCATTATATTGTGCATGTGTGTATGTGTGTGTGTGTGTGTGCGTGTGTGTTTGAGATTACAACTTGATTTGACTTATTTTCCTGTAATGATGACATAAAAATTAATAGAAAAAATTTCATTACATTTTTATAATGATTACATGATAAAGATTTAAGGACATTTCATAGATGTGCTTTATGACACATCTATTATTTTCTTTCAAAGAGATACCTTAATGCATTATATAGTAGCACATGTATTTATATGGCTACTATTATTATCCATCTTCCTGTACCCAGAGGCTACTGATTTATTCATGGAATGCAATGGCATAATTACAAATATGTAATCATTAAAAGTAGTATGTGGCCCTGGTCAGTTCTGTTCAGTGGTTAGAACATCAGCCCGCAGACCAAATAGTTGATTCCGGCCAAGGGCATGTACCTTGGTTGTGGTTCATCCCCGGCCCTGGTCAGGGTCATGTGGGAGGAACCGGTCAATGTGTCTCTCTCAAATTGATGTTTCTCTCTCTCTCTCTCTCTCTCTTTCTCTCTCTCTCTGTCCCTTCCACTCTATCTGAAGATAAATGGGAAAAAAATATCCTTGGGTGAAGATTAAAAAAAAAAAGAAAGTAGTATGTGATTTTAAAAAGTGGTTTGGGGCAAAGAGAATGGTTAGTTAATATGTAAAATAAGTAATGTGGCAACATAAACACCAAATACTTGTATATCTTTATTTTCTTCATCATCCCATAGTTTTCCACTTAAAGTTATTTTTCACAATAATTTATACTTAATAAAGAAGAAGAGGCATTTATGCTCTGTGATTAAGTCCTGTAGTTTGCATATCTTTATGCAGGAGTCTATGGAGAAAAGAATACGCCCTTTATAGACGAACAGCACAGCCCACTCTAGTTGGTGCTCAGTTTATACAATAATGGACTGCATACAATCCCATCTAGGACACTTTCTTCAACTCTAGCGAGGTGGGGAACCAGCAATCACCTGGGTTCTATACTTAGGTCAAGCCTGCACTTTAGGTTGCAACGAAGGACATGTAGGAAGTACAGAAAGGCCCCTCTTTGACCTTTGGAAGACCAATAAGCTGTCACCATGCTCAAACTTAGCTGAGTATAACACACAGGGAGGCTCTACAATTTCTATTTCTCCACTCATCTACATTTATAGAAATACAGAGTAGTCATCTAGCCCATTACACTGCTTTCCTGCTTCCCACTACTCCTGCCACACGATGTAGCACGTGAACTCCTAAAAGAGAACTCCTTCTCCTTAAAACTGTCAAGGAGGATTTTACAGCTCCCTTCACAACCCGTTCCAGCACCATTTGACCCTCTGCTGAAGCCTATTTTTTCTTCCACAGTTTTAATCAATTCTTAGCTCCTATGTTTAAATGAATTTTTATAAATATAAACCCATAATCAGGTACAAGGAATAATTAATATTATTAGTAATAATATAATTTTACAACTAGTCAAGCAATGGTAAACTGATGTAACTAAGCAAATATAACCAGTCTGCCTTATGGGCATTTCCTTGGCAACCTAGGATTACTGGTGATAGCAAAATTAGACTCTACTTTGGGATAAGAGAGTTGCTATTTTTTTTTCCCTCACCCGAGGGCATTTTTCCATTCTTTGTTCAGGTAGAGTGGGAGGGAGAGAGAGGAACAGAGAGAGAGAGAGACATCGACGTGAAAGGGACACATCGAGTAGCTGCCATCCGCACGACGAACCAGGGCTGGGGACAAACTGCAACCGAGGTACGTGCCCTTAGCGGGAACCGAACCCGGGTCTCTCTGTACCACAGTCCGACGCTCCAACCGCTGAGCCAAACTGGCCAGGGAGAGAGTTGCTATTTTTGAAGCAAAGTGCATGTTTTATTTCCCATATGGTGGCCTGATTCTTAAGTCAATAAATATGGTTAAACAGGTATAATCTTTATGTCCCTCTACAGCCATACAAGTAACGTGAGAGCAAGAACAGTGCTGTTTGTCTCTATATTCTTGGTACTTAGCACTCTGCTGAGGACAAAGCAGACATCCAAGTGCTTTTCTGCTGAATAGTTGTTGTTGAATAAGATAGTCAGAGAAAATGCTATTATTTCCACTGGGTGGAGGAGAAAAATGTACTTAAGAAAGCCTGCTTAGTGTGAAGGCTCACAACCACACATGACAGAACGGTGGCTAGGATCCAGGTCTATTGCCATTGTCGATTACTCTGGCCCATCTTCCTGACAAGGAGCAGTAATATTGCAACAGTTCACAAATCACCTGTTCAACTCCAACTGTGTGAGATCCAGGAAGGCCGAACCCATGAAATCATCCTGTAGTCCAAAATCATAGTCAAAAACCTAAGAAGCCAAAAAGACAACATTATTATAAACAATTCCAAAATAAGCTTTAAATAAAAATATCTTGATTATGAAATATTGGATTTTACCCATGTCACCAAAACAACAAAATTTCCTAATATTTATTTTAACAAATTTGTTTTTGTGCTGTGTAATACTAGGGTCTCAGAAAACATTCAAAGAAAATTGTGTTTAATTTTTTCTTAAAATTATTGATTTATACCAAATAGGACTTTAAGAAAGATAATAAGAAAATCAAATCAAATATAATAAATCATCAAAAATGTGGGAAACGCAGACTTCAAATACTTCCCCCATATTATGGAAGGGCATTAGCATTACTGGAAGGCAAAGTGAGTTGGTATAAAATTCAACAAATATATCTTCCAAACTGAGCTAAAGATGATGGGAATATGATTCCAGGTTCTTTAGGTCACTGTAGATAAATTCTGTTATCTTATCGGACAATGCCATTTAAACATACAAAGAAGTGAAAATTGAGATATTATGATTAAAACATCTTGTAATGTTATATTAAGATTAAATTAAATTGAGTGTTTATTGTCACAAGCAATGACTAGGGAATAATGTTAACGTGACTAACAACAGAAAAGAAAAGAGAGAACGCATTTCTTTCTTCCATCAAAACAATTTATCCAGTATCTTCTCTGTGCCATTATGGTCCTTATTCCTACTACAGTGAATAAGACAGGCACTGTCCCTGGCTTCCTTATGTTTAGGGCCTGAGACAGTTAATAAATAGCCAAATAGACATGTACAGTTTAGTGATGGACGCTATAGAGACAAAACTCTAAGGGGATGTGTTGGGAGCTGCTATTTTAGATACGGAGTTCGGGAAGGCCTTTCCCACGAAGTGTGTTAGTATAGAGCTCCCAGTGATGAGAAAGATTAAGCTATGTTAGTATGGAAAGTGCACTCTAAATGGAAGAAACAGCAAGCAGTGAGCATGGTCAAGGTTAATTATTAAGAAGCCAGTGTGATTGAAGCTGATTGAGAAAGATGGAAAGAGGAAGCAGATTGGAGAGAGAGCTCAGAGATGGATCAGTTAGGGCTGTTTCTGAAACAGTCTCTAAGTAAATGGGATTTGGCTAACTTCTAACCATTTATTAATTTTTTGTTATTCATTCCCTCAGCCAAGATTGATTAAGCACTTATCAAGTGTCAGAGAGTGTGCCAGGCATTGAGTAAACAATGGTGAGCAAAACTGACATTACCAACGTTTACAGTCTAATGAGGGAGACACACGTTAAACAAGGAAGTGCGTAGGTGATATGCAATTACACGTTTCGATAAGCATTGTAAAGAAAAGAACAGGGTCTGAAAAGAAAAAAATGTAACAGTGGAGGTCAGGGAAATGTTTAAGATGGAAAAAATGCTGCTAGACGAAGTTTGAATTGTGTTTCTTGACCTTTTCAAATAGAAAATCATATACTCATATATTGGAACATATGACAATAAATAGGTAAGTTCTCACTTGAAAAGCCAACCCAGGCCATTAGACTGTCCAGGATGCGAAAATCCATAGCCCAGAGTGCCTGTGCCCAATTCTTGGCACAACAGTTAGAAAGCTAGAAGCAGAAGGATCAGGTTACACAGCAGCTCTGAATAGGTTACTGTTTTTTCTCTAGTGCAGGTGTACTTCAATTTAAAAAAACTTATCATGTAAAAAAGTCAATATTAAAACAAAAAGATAAAAACTTTGCATTACAAGAAGATTCTTAAATGTAAAGAGTCATAAGGGGATTTATTTAAATAATAAGTTCCTCTAATGCCTCTTAAATTGACAGTCATTTGATTTACATACAACCTTTCAGGAGTACATTTGTTGTAGAAAATGCAGCATTCCTGTAATAAATATTCCCCTTGATCAATTACATTTCTGAGCTTTAGTAACCTGCTCAGTGGTGTATCACATGAATATATTCCACATCTGTGCAACTGACACCATGGTCTTTACAAGTGGCTGCAGTAAAGTGTATTTTGAAGCATAACATTTACACTAAAAATTAGAGAAATTTTTCTTGTGCAATCTCTTCTAATTGTATCACCCTAAGGCTTAAAATCTTGAGGAGACAATAGTGATATGTAATCAAAGAGAACACTTAGGGTACATCCATGCATGTGAAGTGAGGAGCTGTGAATCCAGTGAATGGATTAGTGTAGACAACCTAACTGGATAATTCAACATTTAAACTCTCTTTATTCTCGTGGCCAGAGTCTTTCCTACTATCTTAAAAAAAATTTTTTTTTTCCTTTATCGATTTTAGAGAGAGAGGAAGGGAGAGGGAGAGAGAGATAGAAACATCAATGAGAGAGAACATGGATTGGCTGCCTCCTGCATGCTCCCCACTGGGGATCAATCCCACAACCTGTGCATGTGCCCTGACCAGGATTCAAACCAGTGACCTCTTTCTCGGTGCATGGGTCAACGCTCAACCACTGAGCCACACCAGCCAGGCTCTTTCCTACTATCTTAATGCTAGATGTTTACTTTGGGTCTCAATTTCTGTTAATCAGCAGAGGCATAAACATGGAAGAGAATGGAAACATCAGAATGCATTCATTAATTCAATTATTAGCTATGCCAGTTGGTTCAAGATCTATAATCTATTTGTCAGAGGGAGTACTGCTCTAGATGGAGCTTCAGAAAAATAGAGCATAGAAAAGAGATAAATGGGAAAGGTACTCCCGTTACAATAACAAGCACAGTCACTGATTAATGTTTATTCTTATATTTACTATAGGTTAGGCACTGAGTTAAATATATTACATAGATTTTTAAATTTAATTCTTACATAACTCAGTAAACAAGGTGTTGTTTCTGTTTTTCAGATAAAAATCCAAAATTTAAAAAGTTTATGTTACTTTCCCCTAAATCCCAGGACTGAAAGGGGTCAGATTCAAATATGCTTATACCGAATCTCAGAAATTTAACATGTATAACTTTTACACTCACTCTAGGTAAAGCACTTGGAATTCAAATGTGTAAATGGGATCCTTGCTTTCATGAATCCTCCATTCCCCTGTGTTGGAAATACTAGGTAACTTTAGGTAGAATTGCTTGGGGGCTCAGAGACACTGCTCTTCATTCTCAAATGAGTTTAGAACAATAAATGTTTTACACCAATTTTTTTCCCTTATTCATTTCAGAGAGGAAGGGAGAGGGAGAGAGAGATAGAAACATTGATGAGAGAGAACATCGATTGGCCGCCTCCTGCACGGCCCCTATTGGGGATTTGGCTCACAACCTGGGCATGTGTCCCACAGGGAAGCAAACCAGAGACCTCCTGGTGCATGGGTCAATGCTCAGCCACTGAGCCACATGGGCTGGGCAACAAATGTTTTATTCTAATCAATGCATTTATTTAGCTCCTGATTCATCTGTCTACCAAGAAAAACTACTAGGGAGGGAATTGATTAAAATGCTTTTGGACGCAAATAACAAAAAACAATTCCCACTGACTCCAGCACCAATGGGGATCTGTTAGCTCAAATGACTGAAACATCCCTGGGTAATTATGACTTCAGGGGAGTTTTAATGTGGCAGTTTAAATAATTCATATTTTTATCCATTCCTTTATTTGAAAATATTGGGTAAGCACCTACAATTTGCCAAGTACTGTTCTAGGCACTGGAAATACAGCAGTGAACAAAACAATGCCTTTTATTTCTTGGTGCTTACATATAAGGAAAGATGTAGACAGTGAACAAATGCATGTTAGGTAGTCACAAGTGCCATAGAGAAGAATATCTCAGAGATGGGAATAATGAGAACTGCTATTTATAAAAGAGAAGGTGGCATTAGAATGAAGAGAAGAGGTTTAATGGGAGTAGAAAATGGAAAGGCACCCAGAACATACAATATGACCCAAGATATAAGATTCTACTCAGAAAATATATCTGTGACTCATTTTCATACCCAGGCAGCTTCAAAATAACCATTTCACTATAAAAAAAATAATTAAATTGAATTGGCATTGTAAAAAAAGGAACAAAACAAAACTTAACTGTGGCCATTGCAATTAATCATCTTCCATGGAAAACAGAAGCTATATTGCTTAATTGCTGAGTGGACATAGCAATCTTAATCTCTCTGAGTCTCATTTGCCTATAAAAAGGAGACGAAATGGACACAGACAACAGTATGGTGGTTACAGAGACAAGGGGGGTGAAGGGAGGTAAGAAAAGGTAAAGGAGGTCAAATGTATGTAAAGGAGATTTGACTTTGGGTGGTGAACACACAAATGCAATATGCAGATGATGTATTATAAAATTGGTCACTTGAAACCTATATAATTTTATTAACCAATGTCATCTCAATAAATTTCATAACATTTTAAAAATAATAGAGGAGATGATAGCAGTTATTTATAGGACTATTGTCAGGATTACATGAGATAAAGTGGCTCAGGTACTTAGCACAATGCTCAGTAAATGGTAGCTATTGTTATGATGATGTGACTCCAGATTCTATACAAGACTCAATAACCTCACATGTTCTCTGCCCATAAAGCAACAGCAAGTACAGTCATGCTTTTTTTGTTTTGTTTTTCTATCGATTTTTAAAATCTAAAATAGTTGAGATTCTTGACTCATGCACTTAGGAAATGTTTTTGAACCATGCAAAAAAACAAAACAAAACAAAAAAACCATATCTAAGATAACAAACATTTTCTAACTTCGGAATAATTTCATCTGGGTGCTCTGTGGTTTATGATGGCAAACCTATTTCCATTCCAACTATTCAGTTGTTTCCATTTAAATGTCTAGAAACATGACATACTTGGCAAATTGTAGGCGCTCAACAAATATTTTCAAATATGACTCTCTACCCAAACAGTACATCAGAACAAACTATTGTGTTTTGAAAATACAGAAGCTTGGAGTCTATCTCCCAGGTCCTGAGTCAGAATTTGTAGGAGACAGATTTGAACATTTAGATTCTTTAAAGCTTTCTGGATCATTCTTAAGTACAGTTA